TATTTTAAAATATATTATGCACTACTAAGATGTACTTGGCTGGATGTTTCGCCACAATATCCTGACATATCTATCCCGGTCAGGACGAGATTGTTCATGCCAGAGACCCAGAGCGTGACCTAAGATAAAAAGAAGATGTAGATTATTTACTTAATAACACTTAAGTATATTAGTCTATTAGTCACAGTGTTGGCTCATTAGGGACCTTAAGAAACCACCACGGCGACGCTAAGGAAGACTTCGATTAAAAAATGAATTTCTACTCTTAGCTAGAATTTCAAAAATAGCTGCATGAGCTTTCTGTCTCATACAGCGCCACGGCTCAACTTTAGCATGACGTATAAAGTAGCCGTTGAGTTCCAAATGGAAAATGAAATAATTTGCCGTCGCGGTTCCGGTTCGCAGACGACGCAAATTTTGGCTATTTCACGTTGATGTTTTGCATAGGACGGCTAAGAAATGTACAAAGTTTCGAAACGCACGTGCTGAGCTATTGTTCTGCCAATTAGATCTCTTGTTTTTCCGCGTCCTCGTTGCCGTCGCCGTCGTGGTTTCTTAAGGTCCCTATTATTAATCGTGACGGGGGAGAAGGGTGAAAGGATGTTTTAAAGGAGGGAGAATTTTTTGCTACTAAAAGATTGTGAAGGGAGGACTTTATAAAATGTAGTGTTTTTTTTATCTCACTCATCCATGTGTCATGACCTCAGTTTTCTGTACTAAATTTAGCACACTACGCATGAGCAGTAGGACAGTGATTTTACATTCTTAGACAGGGACCTCGTGGTCACAGAGACTTTTCCGTAAAATGTACATTCAAGACTAAAAGCAATTAAACCATTGTTGTTTTATACTGAGTCTGTGAGTAACATTAATATGACACCCTATCTCCTTATCTCCTTCTTCTGGTAGGAGGCTGGCTACACAGGGTGCGCTTTTCTAGAAAGGTATAATCATTCATATTTTATGGCGAGAATGTAGAAAAAATGTCTTTAGGGCTAAGTTATGATAACTGTGACAGGTCTCATAACAACATTGCAAGGTGCAGTGGTTTTACCAACTGCACCTTGCAAGGAAAGAGTGGGTCGCTTATTCAAAATGACACCTCAGTGATAGTGAATTGGTGGACTGTTGTGTTTTAAATCGAATTTAAAGCAACCTCACCAATTTCATGAGCTACAATTCCTCTGGTCCAACATCCACTAGCAAGAATAAGGTCTTGGCGCCTTCCAATTCTCCCCACAAACGATGAACATCTATTGAAGGAAAATTGAGCTAGTATTGCTATTTATCTTCTAGCCGGCCAAGGCATCCTAATGCGCTCTCTGATTGAGAGAAGGCCGAATATATGAACTTCACATATTCAATGTAAAATATATGAACTTCATATATTCATTGTATCAGAAGGCCGATCGTTACAAACTTATAAAAAAATCAAACAAAACAAAATCCTTGGCATACGCAAACAAAACTCTCTTGGAGAGGCCTCTCTTTTTAATTAGAATTATCTCAGTCTGTTTTTCTCCACCATCTACTCGATAAAAGATTATTCAGTTCATGGGGGATCTTACCGTAATTAATTAAATCATTCGGATTCTTTTGATACTCACATCTTAAAGGTTTAGAGAAAATCAAAATGTTATTCACCAGCCTACGTCGGTCCGTATAGGGAAAAACTGTACCCTCTGTCTTGCGTACCACCCTCGGCTTACGGCCCTATAGATTGTTCTCGCATAATTTTGGCAAATTTGGAAAAACGAGCATGATTTTTGCTTTTGTCATATGCAGCTATAGCATATTTTCATTTTTTTCGAAGGGAACACTACCAGAGTCATGACTTGCTTGGTCTTTAAGATTGAATATTTCCAACTCCGTTCCATGGTTCAGTCGGATTTGGCTTTTTTAATGTCTAGGGGGAAGGAGGTTAGAAAAATTATGGGTCGTTCGTCGTCAAAAGGACTGTTATGGGAAACCAGAAGTGAAGATTGCGTCGGTCCCAGTTCCCACTTTCACAGTTGACAAAATGGCCTCCAGGTTAAAAGAANCCAATACAAGATCGTTTCATTAAAAGACGATAAATAAATAAGATTTCTTTTCTGATGTGCTCTTGATAGAAACCTAGATAATCATTTTTAACGGCTGACTTACCAAATTACCTCTTTTTTAACAGACTATCAATAAAAAGCACTCTTAAAGACTCACCCTCTACCAGGTACAAAGTTGACATAGGCACGTTCACCTCTCCTCCTTCCCCTGAAGTTAATACATGACTTCTTCATCCACTCCCACATTCCCTGCCGTATAGCCCTCCAGGCTCTACGATTCCGGCCTTTTGAAAAGTAAATAAAAATTATGAGGATAATGATACAAATCATCAAATGTTGAACTTGTTGCTCCAAAGAAGGGGGTGACTGAAGATGGCGACACAATTTTAGCATTGCCGTAATTTGCACTCTCGATTAATATTCTCTTTTTTCTCTCGATTGGTTTTCACAATGCGTCCTTAATGTAGTGTCATCCTTATGCCATATAGAAAGTCAGTTTAAGATTGGCCCCTCCGAGAGCTGTCCATTTCCTTCCCTCGAATCTCAATGTATCGGGAATCATTGAGTTTTGAAGGAAATAAAATGATCTGTTTCCCTCAGGACCAGTAGTTCAGTTTTTAATGAATAGCGATGAGGAATATCACAACCTTAAAAAGGCTAATGATAACCATGACTATAACAATAACAGTGGTAAATAATAATGATAATCGTTATGGGTTATTATCAGGAGTAACAGTAAAATATGTGCAATAGTTTTCACAATTAAGCGATAGGAGCTGTGATTTTTTAGAGCTTAATGCATACGCTTACTTTCCAGGGTCTCGAGTAACAATTTGTGTGGGTAACCTCCAACTTTAGTATACACGCTATGCAAAACGAGCATTCTTCTGTAGGGGTTGGAAACGGGTTTTGTACCAAAACGAGATCGGTCAGCCATCGCCATTTCGTTGTACGATTTTTTAGCAAGGATTTTCTCGAAATCCTTATCGATATTTTGCATTTGTAAATGCCTACACACTGCTGTGTTCCTCATTTTACCTTTAAGGGCCATCGCAATTCAGATGGGGAGAAGGTTTCATTCTTTAACTTCCCGAAGAATGCAGTTTTGCGAAAGAAATGGATCCATGCGATTCGAAGAGATCCCGAAAAAAATTTTGAACTAACTCGTCGAACTAAAGTGTGCTCTCGTCATTTCAAGAAAAATGACATGAAAAATCATTGAATGGTATTGAAGCCTGGTAGCATCCCATCAAAATTCTCGTGGCATATGGCATCGCCAAAGAAAAGAAAATCGCCTACGAAACGCCAAATAGTAACAACAGAAGAATAACTTATAGAAGCACAAGCAGAGAATGCTAAATTTAAAAAAAATATATATGCACTTGAATCTCAATTTCAGGATCTTCGACTGAAGTTAGAACGATTAGCCAAAGCGAGCAAGTTACTAATGGCTGAGCTCGACTCAGAACGACAAGAATCACTTCAGACTTTGTTCAGTTGATAATGAAATAGGGAAAGATGAATTACAAAAAGAGTGTACGCTTCTCCAGCACAAACTCCATTACACAGAGCAAGAGAGATTCACCCTAGATAACTTAAAATCTGGTGAAAATATTGCGTTTTATACTGGTTTTCCTAATTATCGTACATTTTTAGCAATATTCAAGTTTATGAATTAATACAGGAGATGAAGAAGAAAATGTGAGATATCACACTTTGGAAAAGAATGATGTGGAAGCAGATTTTTATCAAAGTCAGGTTAATGAGGACAACATTAAAGATCAGGATGACGAAACCCCAAAGAGAAAATGTGGCAGACCAAGGAGATTGACAGTAATTGATGAATTTTTCCTTGTAATGTGTAGGCTAAGAAGAGGATTTGCTGAGCACCACATAGCCCACTTATTTGGAGTTTCTCGGGCCACTGTCAGTAGATTGTTTACAACCTACATAAACTACATGTTTTTGAAGTTTGGTCAAGTGAATATTTGGCACTGGGAAGCGTAGAATTGCTCATATTTCAGTCTAAAACAGTTACCAATAACTCACA